ATCTCCCTTTGCATCTCTGGGTGGGATGGCCACCAGCTGCCCTAGATCAGCATCTTTCCTCGGCCCTGCTCTCAGGCCAGTCAACCCCCAAATTCCTGAGGCCAAAATCTTTCCTGGAGGGATCCAGACCTTAGGAGAAAGCCCAAGCACATCTGATCCTCATCTGACTTGGCCCTCTGTGGGAACTCCTGAAGACAAAAGCAATCTGGCCACTCCAATACAAAATCAAAAGAGAGAACTGAAGTTTAGACAAACCAGCTTTTCATGTCCAAAAAGTAAACCACAAAGACACAAAGTCTACAAAAAGAAGCAGACCTATCTTGAAGACTTGAGTCTCACACAAGAATGAGAAACTACAAAAGAAATTCACATGTCAAAATCACAGAGAAAAAATAACATGAAAAACCAAAATAACATATCCCCACCAAATACCAATAATCCCCTAGAGGAGTACAATGAGAACCCCCTAGAGATAATGCAGGACATAGAGATAATGCAGATATAAGTGTAGGAAAGGATTTTCTAAACAGGACAACTGCTCAGGAAACAAGGGCAAGAATTAACAAATGGGGCCTCATTAAACTGAAAAGCTTCTGTACATCAAAGGAGGCAACCAGGGAAGTGAAGAGAAAACCCACAGAACGGGAGAAAAATCTTCACCTGTGACACATCTGACAGAGGTGTAATATCCAAAATATATAACGATCTCAAAAAAGAGAATCAAGACAAGAAGTAACCCAAAATTAAAAGGGCTAAGGAGCTGAACAGAGAGTTCTCAAAAGAAGTAAAGATGGCTATAAAGCATCTTAAAAGATGTTCGACAGCACTATTCTTAGGGAAATGCAAATCAAAACCACTTTAAGATTTCACCCTACCCCAGTCAGACTGGCTAAGATCAAGAGAACAAATGATACCAAATGTTGGAGAGGATGTATTTTCATGGTTTTACTTTTTTCAAGAAATTATTATATTCAGGCAGCAAGAAAGAAAACAACAAAACAAGCAAACAACAAAAACTTCAAGCCTGATCAAAATTTCCAAGAAGTCTAGAACAAAATAAAAATATAAACCTAAGAAAACAGCTCATTATTAGTAGGGACCCAGAACATTGCTGACCCTCTGAGAGTGCCTGAATCCAGCCTCCACTTGGTGCTAAATGAAAAAAGCAACCTAAGTGTCCCTCAAGTGACAAGTGGATAATGAAAATGTGGTACATCTACACAGTGGCGTTCTGCTCAGCAATAAGAAAAGATGAAATTTGCAGCTAAATGGATGGAACTAGAAACTGTTATACTAAGTGAAGTAACACAGACTCAGAAAAAAAATCGACGTATGTTCTGCCCCATATGTGGATCCTAGAACCAAACCCTGATAAGTGAGTATGTATCCAGACTAATTTCAGGAACCAGGATAATGGAAGGAAACAGGGAGGTAAAGGGAAAGAAAGAACCTGAAAGAGAACAGTAGGAAACAGGCCTTAATAAGGGAGATAAGGATAAAAATTGGGTTAGTTTAAAGGAGTGGGGAGGGAAGGGTATACAAGGAACTTAGGTGATAAAGGAAAGAAGGAGCTCAAGAGAGGTAGGCCCGTAAGAGAAGGGTATTATTAAGGGAGAAAGGGGGGAAATGGGGGCACCTTAAGTGGGAAAACCATGATGGCGGGGTGAGACAATGGGAGAGGTAAATAATGCCTAGCTAGTTTTAAAAACCAGAGGGAACCATATTACTCCAACAACCTACTGACAAATTATACATACCAGATCAAGAAATCTATGTAAGGTTTATCTGAGAACAATTGGTCTTTGCCCAAGATTTATCTACATGACACACAGTAATTAAAAGTACCAGACTGGTGGAACTAACCTTCTTGGATGTTTAACAGACATACTTTGAGACCTATAATAATTTGGTCAGAGGGACATAAAGGACAGTTTTTGCTCCTTGCCCTC